CTGCTAAACGCTTGTGGTGGCGTTAATATATGCTTTTTTTGTTCATCCATGGATAGTTTGATCGTTCCAACTGCGTAATTTTCTTCACAGTGATTTCCCAAAATGCTTGTCATTTAGCAGCTGATACTCGCCTCCTTGATCAGAATGTCCAGTTCTTGTAGAGATAATTTCGGTAACACTTTCTATGAATTTCACCTTTGTAAGCATCTATAAACACATTCATAACATGTTATAATGCATTCATAAGACATTTATAAAAATGCATTATACTTTATAGCCATGTTTATTAGGCATTATGGATTGTTAACATAATACATTATAAGTACTGTTCATAACAAATTATAAGAGCTCATAAGTGGTATTTGTCCGCTCTAAGTAAAGTGAAGCGTACTGTACTAAAGCCTCCTCCAGTGTTCAGAGTGAGGCTTCAAGTTGAAGTATTTACTGAAGGATTTACTGAAACACTAAAACATTCACAGTAAAGCTCATTACAGGCTTCAAATGTCAGAGTTTAAACTAGAGCTGCATCAGTGTTTTACCCAATGTGGGAAAGGTAATGTTCACCACCGTTAGCTTGGTATTTGTCTTTACTTTACGCTCTCCAAGCTGGGACTGACTTCTTTGGCACTGACATTATAACATGTTATTAACACTATTTATAATGCATTATATTAACAATTCATAATGTATAATAAACATGGCTATAAAGTGTAATTCATTTTCATAAATATTTATAACCATGTACATAATGCCTTATGAATACATTATAACACGTTATAAATGTGTTTATAGATGCTTACAAATGTGACATTCATAGAAAGTGTTACCAGAATTTCTTCCTTTTCTGTCTTCTTTCCTCTGTTTCTACAACTGGTGTTAATGTGTGATGGATGGATCCGTACATTAGCGCCTTACACATTTCAGTGTGCTTGACGTCATTTAAACAGTGTGTCATGGTACGTCAGTTACAAAAGGCTAAAACTGTGATAAAGATTTCTTAACATAATTGTGCAGCACATCTACCTCTGCTTTTAATGAACCTGGCGACCTTACGAGGGTGATTTATTCTGTGAGCTGACAACTCTATGGCAGCAGCGGGGGATAAGAGAAAAGAGGGCTCGGACCTATTTGCACATCAAGAAAGGCACCTGGGCTAAGGCTGCGGCATTGGAAATGCATAAAGCCCGTGCATAGCCGGGAGAGGGGGAAGAAAACCAGAGAAGCAATGAGCGAAAAGGTACAGACCCTACAGAAAAGCCAAACAGCCACTGCTCGCCTGTAAATGGAAGGAAGAAATGGGCTTTCGACACAGGAGGAGGAACAACAGTGAGCTGGGGAAGTGATTAAAGATTCATTTCCTTAAGACCAGACTCTCCAATCATCCTCTCCCAAGACGCTGAACGACGCACTGCTGCTGCGAACTGACTGCGCTAAGACTGTGTCTGTATCCACTGAGGGAAGAGCTTGTTTGCATGTCTAAAAGGTTATAGTTCAAGGTTAGCTCATTTCAGAAAACAGCTTTTGCACATGCACAACAATGGCAAACATATAACATCTCAATGTTTGGAAACATTTTCATGATACACATTTCATTTATCTTGATATTTTGATTTTATAAGGTTTGTAAAAAAGTGCAATAAATAAATGCACCAGCAAAATTGCAGCAATTTAAATAAAGGCCATGAAAAATGTGACTATAATGCTTTCAATTCAACGACTGCAAAATAAACTATTTAATAAGAGGTAAAATCCAACAACTGGTCAAAATAAATGAACAAAATAACAGAATAATAAGCCGACATGCAATCAGCTATTTTTCGAGGTGTGTTACGCATTTTTTGAAGATCAAGTCTTGCGATGCGAGAGATGTGTTTGTGTTCTGTTTTTACACACTGGACTGTGTACATTTGATCCCTTTGTGTGAGGTAAAGGTAATATATTCGAGATTTTAAACACTCATACAGCAGCAAACCACTATTTTCTATGTAAAGACATAGTGTAGTAACAGTATCCTGAGCAGAGAATGAAGTCACGCCACCACTGTGTGTGCTGCAGTCCCAGCTTCTCTGTTTTTTGTTTTCATAGCCGGGATGGCCACACGTGCACGTTAGTCCTGCCCCGTCAACACGTCTGCCCCCTGCACGTTTTGTTTTGCCCTCCCTAAGCAGTGACCCCCCTCACAATTTAAAGCGGGATGGAAAAATTCGAACAAGAAGCTGGTGAAACTGAGGACGACCTCAGCTTCACTGAGGGCTGAAATGCCTGAAAAGGGATGAGGAGGATGCTCCTGCTGTAGGGCAACATTAACTCATTTTTGCTGTTTCACAGAATCAGTAGTCAGTGTTGTTTTGTCTTGTTTGCGAATGTTTGTGACAGCAGCTGGTCAGCTTTACAGCAGAAACCGTAACAACAGTTTGCTAACCTGCTACCAGCTAACGTTAGTTACGTTACTTGCTGTGTGGTTGTTCTCTCTAATGTTATATCATGGTGTTTGTGTGTACAAGGTTTGCGAAGGGTTTTAATGGCCACAAAGATCTAAAAAGGCATCGACAATGTGCGTCCACAAATTTGGGGGGCGGAGTTTCTGAAGGAGCCCTGAAGGGAGTGCTACTTTAACAATACTCAAAGCGATAATGCATCTTTTTTTGTGCTGGCCAATCAGATCAAATATTTGAAATATGATTTCACAGAGAAAAATAAGCACAACGTGAACAAAACACTTTTTAGTTTATTTTTACAAATAGCAGCGCCACACTTGCTAGATAGTAGATCACTTTCTAAAAGGGCAAATGACAAGACTTTATATATGTAAAGTCGCACCAAAGTATCTTCACTGGTAAAGCTGTAGTGTTTATGTCTGAACGGGGAGAAGGGAATCCCTCTCTACCATGTGTGGGACGATGTGTTTGCTACTCTGTTACTGTCAATATTGGGTATTGGGTCAATATTGGGTCAATATTGGGTATTGTCACTAACGTCACGATACATATTCTGACCCAAGCCTCGTGATACATTGTAACAGAGGTCACTAATAGGTGGACCGCGGTCCGAGTCCGGACCAAGACGCTGTCCTATGCGGACCTGGACCTACAACCGATAAACTATGGAGAATTACTTAATTTCGACGGGGTGGTCCTGTTTTAATTGGCGTAGATTTCTAGCCTTTATGATACCAGTTTAGCAGCCCAGGAGACTCACAGACCAATCACGTGTTGTAAATATCATATGTGACGCTACTCAGCCAATCAGATCTGTGCGTTACGATGAGCACTGAGACTCGAGTGAGTGACGCACACACAGGGGAGGGACGAGGCGAGAAACAGCAGTCGGAGAAGAAAGTGAGTCAGAGGGAAGTTATTTCACATGGCGTGATCTAAAATTCAGTTGACATTCAGTTGTTGACTGTATAAGATGTTGATATTCCTACTAGGCTACTTCAGTAAACTGTATATGACACTGAATCATGCAAGTTAGACATTATGATGTTCCGAACCTTCGCTTGAGGAAATTTTCTGTAACTGGACCATATTAAATTTTAATTAAAGACTCCTGCATTATAATATGATATAATGACCAAAAAAAAACCCCACTAAACATACAACATACACTTTTGGTCTCTGTTTTCACTAAAATTTGTTCTAAAAACTACAGTATATCAGACAGTATGTCAGACTATCAGACAGACAGCTAGCTAGACAGATAGATAGATACTTTATTGATCCCGAACGAGCTAACTTTCCTTCGGGATCAAAAGCATCCATCCATCCATCCATCCATCTATCTATCAATCAGAGACGGGGCTATTTAGTCTAAGCAAAGCCTCAGTATCTTTGCGAAGTCTCTGAGTTTCATGCTGTGTTTCTGAACCTGACTTTTTCAGTGACCGTGAAAGAACTCTCCCACTGAGATGCAGCAGAAGATGGTCATTAATATGGCCACTGCAAGAAAAAATGTTGTGACTGAAACAGATCAATACATATCACTGTATCTCTCAAGTATCTCTGTTTTTTTTCTATTTTTATTTTTCTACACCTCTTGAACTCCTTATCCTTTACATTGTGTGAACATTTCATGACGAATCGTCCAGTAAAACTGCTTGAAATAAGATCTCTTTACTTTAAAATACATTAAGAGTAAATAATGTTTTTACCTTCTCCTGTAAAGATGCCATTCTGGGGATCCTTGTTTTTTTTGGGACAGTGACAGTATTGAAATGAATGCCAGCGCAACTGATTTACAGCTGTGATGCTACTGTTTCTTAGCAACAGGTCACATATGCAAAAAAATGCACCTCTCCTTTTTACGCATTAAGAAAAAGGGCAACGTATTATAAACTATAAGTGGTCTAAAGTCATTTTATGGCATACATGCAGTCAGTCAGTGTTCTAGAAGTACTGATGATACCCACGATATACAGAAGTGCACTGTCAACTAATTCAGCATGATAACAATAACACACTGTCATCCTGCCAGTCTCTAAATGCCAAATAAACCGAAAAAGTCACACATATTGAGTTCCCGTTCCACTGTGGTACAAACACAAGGACACAGGGCGCTGATGGGGTCCATGTTTAATTGATGTAGTTGTTAATGCATTCATTAAGTGTGACGGCCCAGCCGCAGCAGACTGGGGTAAACACTGCAGTTTGTTGGGGACAGATCCTGTAGGTGCAGCCTTAAAATCACCAAATCCATAATTCATTAGATGTCACTAGAAAGCAGTGACTGACCACAGCAGATAATACTTATATAGCTTGTGCTATATATCCAATTAACCAAAGCCAGCTCTGTTTCTTTAGGCACACAATTAAAGCATACAAACGAAGTATTCAAATAATTATCAAATTTATGGACTAAAACTGCTGGACTGCTTCCTTTTTATATGAATCCATCGAGCTCCCAGTTTTCCATGATGTAACGTAAAGCAAGAAAAGCTCAGCTGGGCTGTGGCACAGAAATCAGCAAGAGGAGAAGGAAGGTAAAAGGAAACAGTACGGTACCTGTACTGAGGAGAAGGGAGGCCTTTAGCATCGCAGGTGAGCGTGGCCTCTTCTTCAGGTAAACCCACAGGAACCATCAAATCACTGGGCTCCATTCGCCATTTTGGCCCATGGAACGATTTATAATCTAGACATTCTGATGAAAAAGAGCAAAGCAAGAACATGATTTCAGATGTCAGAGCAAGTCGTATACAGTCTTTAACAAATACTGTCAACACTTTACTGTAGGAGACTGTTTCTAAGGCTACATAAGCTCTACAAGACAACTGACATAGACCTACATAAACATTTATAAACACTTATTCCAGTCCTCATTTGTCATATAGTCGACACTGACCTAACAGCCAGGTGACATTCTACTTCTACTGAGGTCTGCACCAGAGTTCGGGTTTCGGTCACATCTTTATCTTTTTCATTTGGTTCGGTTGGTTTCATACTGCAGTGGTTTAACTATGCATGAGGGTGTTCTGTGTTCTTTGATTGGTCAGAAGTTTCACCCCTTTATATAATTTTAAATTTCACTAACTTATCATAGTATAAAATCCAGTTCTATCCTTCACTTCTACTCTTGATAAAATTATCATGTCTATTATTTTGTACTCATAGGGCCTGATTTTCCCAAAAGAGGTGCTAATTACCGGCAGTCTACCAACACTCTGCGCTGGTGGGGGTGACTAATTTAGTGGCTTATCTACTAAGAACTTCCATGCAAATGAACACAAGCGCAAACTGCGTAATTAACATATGAGCAGTGCAATGTAACCACGTGTTTGACTCACATGCTTTTTGCATGGAAGCTCGTTTCTGCCACGCTGAACAAACAGGCTGCGTCCCAAAACGCATATTTCAGCACTAAATGGTGTGTAAAAAATAGTGCACCACCATTTCACATTTAGAATTCGTGTCATATTATAAAACCCATGTTTAATTTCACTGAGCGCTTCCTGCTCAAGCTGGGAACCGTATGATTTTGACTTATGGTGAGGGCGTCTGTAGCTCAGTGCATCAAACCTTGTCTGTGACATTTCGGTAACAGAAGCCACAGAGCGAACCAGTAACTAGTAGCTTAGTGCAGCGACTGCAGAGACAAATAGTTTCATAATAGTTTTTGGGAAAAAAAACTGTCCAATCATTATACAGAGAACATCTGTTTTTTTATTTCCTTCTTCAAATTAAGAATAATATGAAATGGCGTGAATTCACAAAATGTTTTTTAATTAGAGTTAAACATTTTCTCTGTCTCAACAGCCACATTATCGCCAAAAGTAAGAGAAAATGAGGTTAAACGATGCACAGTCGGTTTTTACTACCAGCCTTAGTAAATCAGAATAAGTGGTTCAGTTAATAATCTCATCTCAGTATTTTGCTCTTATGAATGCATATGCAATGGGACAAAAGCGCACAAGAGCAGTGACCACCCCTCTGGTCTTACTGTCACTACTGAAACGTGCAATTAAGTAAACGTTTTTGGGGTTTAACGAAAATTATTATGAATTTATGTGTGTACAATTGTGTTTGCTATGTTTTCTCGACTTTACTACTGTAACGCTTTGTTCATAGGACGTCCTGCAAAATGCAGCAGCAAGAATATTAACAAGGACTAGAAACCATTTCTGAGTGCTGATAGATGATGTTCCTAATCGAGCTTTAAGATCATCCAGTGCTGCTGCTCCATATTCCACATATGAAACTTAAACAGAGGCAGTGTTTTGTTATTATGCACCAAAGATCTGGAACACATTACCAATAAACATCCATCAGACTCCGTCTGTCAATGTTTGTAAAAAACAGTTAAAGACGTATTTCTTTACTTCAGCGTTTAACTAGGATTTTATTGTTTCCTTTGTTTTTACTGGAATATTATTATTACTTTTATGTTCTTCTTAATTGCAATTTTTTATTGACTTTTTCTGCTATTTATTGTTTGTTTATTATATTTTGTTTTTATTCTTGATTATCTTTTCTTGCTCTGTTGTTTTTACTTTGTACTGTGAAGCACTTTGACCTGCATTTTTAATGTATGAAAGGTGCTATATAAACATACATTATTATTATTATTATTATTATTATTATTTATGTACTGGGTAGTGATTTTGAGTTCTGCTCAAAATTAGCCAAAATTTTCACTACTGAGACATTTGGTGAAGTTTTGGAGGCGTTATTATTGCACTGGCAGTGACAAAATGTTCAACCATTTATTTTAATAAAATAAACATAGTGAGGAAACTCAGAGCAAAGGTATTTTACTCTAAAATCCAAGTCAGTTACAAGGTGTTTTCAACTCTAAACCAACTTGGAAACATGATCGGTGTATAAAGTACCTCCAAAAGTTTGGACACACCTACTCATAACAGTTTTCCGCCCTCATGAATAAAAGCGAAGACAGCAGAACTATGAAATAACACAATGTCGTATGAGTGACGTGGAAACTGGGAAACACCTTAATGCCAGGAGGTCTGGGGGCGAGATTTATATGTGACTATTTACAGTTGGTTGAATTGTTTACTAGAAACTTCAACAGTGAAAATGAAATGAAAGTGCTGTGCTTTAATTACAGCACCAGTTTAATAACAAACAGAGCTTTTTGTTATAAAGCAAATGAGGCAGCTGCTTAAATAAATAAACAAACGACTGTGTACAAGGAAAAATGTTAACTTTTGCATAATCAAAATACATACTAGTCAGCAGCAAACAGTTGGTTGCTGTACTGACAGCATATTTTCACACTTCATGCATGTGTTACTTCCAGTAAAAAGGCTAAAGTGATATTATAGGGGCATATTTTATACAGCATCACTGAGCAGCGAAAAACAGACTCCCTGCAGGAGCCGGAAATATGGCTTGCAGGACAAAGCATTTTCATTACAGACCATTTATGCATTCAAAACAAATACTGTATTCAAACCGTTCACTCCCTTTGGAACGTGGGATGGATATGCCTATGAATTAACACACACGGAAATGTGCCACGACCATGAAAACTGTTAAACATTTAAAAACTGCACTATAAAACATTCTAATCTCATATACTGAGATAACTCAAAGTACAGCCCCTTTGTCTTGATGCAGCTTTATGCACCCTTGGCGTTCCCTCAAGCATCTACATGAGGAGCCACCTGGAATATTTTTCTAACAGGCCTGAAGGAGCTCCACGTATGCTGGGACCTTACCGGCTGCCGAAAAAACTACTTCATATTTAAATCTAAAACATTTTTGTGGAGATAAATTCATGCACTGACATCAAATTCAACATTTATATTTGTCTTAGAAACAAATTTGAAGCATGTAAATATAAGCCTTTAGATCAAATTACGAAAAACACAGTCAGGTGTGTTCAAACTTTTAACTGGTGCTGTGTGTATTATACAGTGGCGAACCGAGACCATTAAAGATAAGCCTTCTGTTCTATCAGCTGTAAATTCAAAGTCAGTCAAAACTGAGGACATGCTCATTTCTGCTATCGTCTATGGGATTCTACTTTTGTTTTTTGTCTGTTCTAGATTAAACATGGCCTTTTCAAGCTTGTAAAAGACAGTCCATGATTTATCTGAAGCTTGTAACATACATCACTGTTGTCAGAAGAAAACCTTGTATCTCCGTTTTTTGTCGTTTTTCAGTTTTTGACATTTGAAAATACCTGTTGTCCTTTACATTGTGTGTAAATTTCATTAAGAATGGACCAAAAAAAAACAGCCCAAAATGACTTGGAAAGATGTCTGGTTCCACTGACTTACATTAAAAGTAAAGTAGGTTTTTCCTTTTTCCTGTAATGTTATCATTTTGGAGATATGAGGTTTTTTTCTGACAACAGCGATATATTTCACCTTTTTACAGAGTATCCTTCAGTTAAGAGTTCTGGCATAGAGCTGCGCTGTTTTCCATTTGTAACGTCTGACTGGAACGCACTGGTCAGGCTACCAGCAGTATAGGCAGTTAGTGACATATCTAGGACATCCAGAAGGTCTAAAGGGACATTCTCACTAAATTGGTCCCGATCATTGGAAATCAATACATGATTGGTTGATGCAACTCTCACTTTCCAATTAGGTGAGTGGTTAATCTGACACATTAGGTCTTCAGTTCAGCCTCTGAAGTCCTAACCAATGGGAGAGTTAACTCAGCTGTATCTACCAAGACACCACGGAATGACCGGGCAACTCTTTTAAAATGTACCAATGAAATAAGAGCATTAATACAGTATTTGCGGAGTTTAATTACATCAAGCACAATGATTGTATTAAATAAAAACAAACAAAAATTGCAGACGTGTATGTGTTTAATGTATTTTTTTTTATTTCACAGAAATCATTAGGCCTTCTTTGAAGACCTAGAAGGCCCTGAGGGTCTTAGTGCATAACGGTATGGTGTTGTGCATTGAGTCCTAATTATTATAATGATAATCAGAATGCATTCAAAGCTTGATGGAATAGAGAATGGAAGGCTTGTTGTGCATCAGTTGCCACTGGAGAGTAATGAGGGTAAATATAGACCATATGCTGTGAGCTTACTCAAGATAGTTGGGTATTAAGATGTTCTGCATATGCTCTTCACTCTCTCCTCCTTAAAGGGCCCATATTGTACATTCCTCTTGCATTTTATTTGTTCCTTTGAGGTCCACTTATAACACCTGTGTGGTTTTATGCACAAAAATAATTTTTACACAAACATTTTCCAACCTGTCCTTATCCCTTAGAACAGGGGTGGTGAACTCTGGTGGACAGCCAGAGTCCTGGACAGTTCGGTGGTTTCCCACCTGAAACACACCTGATTCTACTCAGCAGCAAATTGCCAGGTTTTGGGGCTGTGTTAGCAGGAATATCACCAAACTGTGCTGGACACCGGCCCCCCACGACCGCAGTTCACCACCCCTGCCTTAGAAATAAACAGGCTGACTTCGTTACTGTGTCTTTAAGACTGATTTCAGATAAATGAGCTCTGTTCTGATTGGCTGCCCTGCTTTGCACTTCATTCAAAAAGCATTCCGAGTTAAAACACCCCTTAAAACTTCAATATGAATGGGCGGAGCGAAGCTGCTGTAGGCTGATCAGGGGTAAACAAACGTAAATAGACAGATGTTTGAGTTGGATCTTTTCTAAATGAGTTGACTATATGAGCTGGGTAGCGAATGTTTACTCCTTTATTTGTAAAAAGTGTGGGAAATTCGGTTTTCCGTGATTTAGGCCCTTTAAGAAGTGAGCTGACAGGAGTTTTCAAAAAACTGTTTTAATAGTTCAAGGCAGAAATGTACCAAATGAATAACTGTTCTAGAAATTTGCATTTGCTCTGCACACTGTGACTTTTTAACAGCAGAGCTGTCTCATTGATTTTCTTCCCACAGCTCAAAGACAGAACAGACAGAATTTCCTCAGCAATGCTCTGTATTGGTTTAAGGAACGGCAAAGCTAAAGCAAAGTCACAATACAGTATTATCTCACACGGATACAGTTTCAGAGGAAAATTTCTATTCCTGTATCTTGAGGGAGTGGAGCTATTAAAGTGTGACACTCTATTTCTGCTTCCTGAGAGAGTGTACTGGGGAGTCCCAACCCTTCCGCCAAACAATACCATTCATTTTCGAAATGACTGCACAGCTTAATTGCATCTTCTACAGGCAAGACAAAAATAACTCTCAATCTTGTTAGTTCTGGTATGTTTTTTTTAAGTTTAAGACTTTCAATCTGTAGAGTTTTCTATCAGTTGGACTCACTCGCTGGAGCGTATTGTGAGCTCTCTCTCTGTACAGCACTCGAACTGAAGATGAAGATGTACGGAAACCCAAATAAAGTTAACACGAATTGGAAATCATAGTACCGATGTATTCCAGAGGCTCTCTGAGCTAGCCGAGCGTTTCGGTCAATGATACATGGCGGTGGTCACTTATCTCACACTATACTGAGTTCTTTATGTATTTATATTAACATAGTGCTAAATTTTATTACAGTAAAACACAACATGCTTTCGTGAGCATGTCAACTGACCGACTGCATGTTTCATTAAAATGAGAGCACAACCCATTCTGCTCAATTGGATTTAGTGCATTTAGTGTAAATTATTGTTGAATTTTTGATGGCAGTATTTGAATGCGGCAGGATTAGTGCATTGTGTCCACGTGTCAAAATATTGTTATATGCATTGTGTAATTTATATATTTAATTTACAGTGTCTTTAAGTACTGTGTACCCTGTAATCAACACTCAGAAGAGGTTTCAGAGGTGAGCTAGTCATTATATTAACGTAGTGTCAGGATAGGCTTCTAACAGTGGTCATTAGTTTTGAAGGACTTAATTCGCATTTTCGCTCTGATACGCTTCTAACAGTAGACACTGGTTTTCATAGACCTATTTCTCACGGTTACTCTGATAGCCTTCTAACAGTAGTCATCGGTTACCATTGGTCCTAAATACCTCTGTTCAATGAAACACTCATTTTTTTCCTTTACTACTGTTTATTCATTGTCAATTCTTTGTTCTTTAATCATATTTTTCATGTTGTGCTATCCGGTGTCGACCAGAGGATGGGTTCCCTGTTGAGTCTTGGTTCTTGGTTCTTGCTCTTAGGGAGCTTTCCCTTGCCACTGTCACCACTGAGGCTTGGACCTGGATTTCTGTATAGCTGCCTTGTGACAGTGCCATTGTAAAAAGTGCTACACAAATCAATCTGAACTGAACTAAATATATGGGTGCAGGTTGATGTAATCAAATAGGGGTGGGCAATATGAGGATATTTTATCGTCACCATCATAAATTTTATTATTGTAAAACATAACACGCCTTCTTTTTGAGTCTGTGCGTAACATTAATATGTATGATGTGGTCTGAAAAACTTCAGCGAAATCCTGACTTTTAAATTGCCATTTCAGGCTTTACATGACAACTCACAGCAGCCCACGCGCACCACATACTAGCATGTTTTTAATGTTACCTCTTTCAATTTTAATCCATTGAGTAGCTTTATATGATGTGATGAGTTGTGCTTAATATGACTGGGGTTTGTCAACAAACCAACTGCATGTTTCATTAAAATGAGAGCACAATCAGTTCTGCTTAATTGGATTTAGTGCATAAGTGCATTAATAAAAATTAATGTTGAATTTTTGATGGCAGTATTTTGAATGTGGCACCACTAGTGCATTACGTCTGTGTATCAAAATATTGCTGTATAAACTGTGTAATATCTGTAAATATGGTCATATATTTTTGGCAAAAGTCCCACTCCTGTAATCAAAACTCAGAAGAAGCTTCACAGGTGAGCAAGTCGTTACATTTTGGTGGAGGATTACAGAGAAACAAGAATTACCACTTTTAAAGCTGCACTATGTAAGATTTGGGGATTTGGAGACCTCTCTGGTGAAGATGTGTAATTGCAGACAATGTGCAGAAGATGTCAATTGCTTTAGACCCCTTCACCAAGCAGATTAATCTGATGATCTCTGAAACTTTTTCATCAGCATACTGTAAATTTTGAATTTGAGACCTCCGCATTGAGCCGGACCCTCTTTTTGAGTCTGTACGTGACGTTACTGGGTATAATGTATTCTTAAAAATTCCAGTAAAATCCTGACTTCTAAAGTCTGACTTCTATTTCAGGCTTTACACGGCAACTCGCCATATATTTTAGCAATTTTTTAATGTTAAATTTTAATCTTACATAGTGCAGCTTTATATGATATGATGAATTGTGCTTAATATGGCCGGGGACGTGAACTAACAAGCTAAAAAATGTCCTTTTTGATTTCTGATTGACTTTAATTAAAGCAATTCTGCTTGAGGCAACACCTGCTTCGTCAAATATTTCTTGTCAAAAAAAAGTTTGCCCTGAGTTTGCCCTGAGTTCAGACTCCCGCTCTGTTGCATCATAACACAAACCTCCACCAAGTGAGCCAAAGCCAAATGAGCACCTAACAATTTTATGACACTCTGAAAAAGCTCAGTAAAGCTCTTCTACTGCAACAGCCTCTGTGCTGCCATTGGTACTTGTGTGTCCCTGATTTTTCACCACCCTCCTTAACTTTCTGTCTACCGTCAGACCTTTACGCTGAAGTTAGTTGATATAGTTGGAAAGCCGGTGCGGATGCAGCACAGGGGAAAATTACCAATTCATTTTACCTGTAAGATACTCCATGATTGATAGCAGCAAAAACTGTTTCCATAGTAACCTCATCTTCAGCTGCCAGAGGCGAACGAGACTCCCAGCATCCAGTAGGTCGTAAATGAACAGATGCTCACGGAGAAAAAAAGAGCAGAGCTTGACCTGCAAGACCAAGATTATGAGAAAAATTAGGAATAATAGAGTGTTAACTTCAAATAATCCCTTTAATTTCAGTATTTTTCTCCTAGCATGTATAACATTTGGATAGAAATAGGTAGATGAGTGCTACTTATGACAGAGCTTATGTACTAAACACTGCAGTAACAAGTACGGTAATGAGAAATTGTTACATAACTATTCCAGTAAGCTCTTCTTATAATGCTAATGACTAACACTGCCTAGCTGTCTGTCTTGCTTTTCTTGCATTGATGTGACCAATACAACAACAGAGAACAGCAGATGAGCACATGTTCCGTCACAAAAAGATCCAATTCCTCATAACTCAGCACCGCAAACCGACCACAGATTTGACTGAGACTGAACATTGAGAAACACGTCATTTAACAGATGTAGCAGGGAAGTTAAAATGGGAGAGGAAGAGTCACCAGCTTTATCAGGCTTCTCTTGTGACACTTTCTCAACATGGTATTATACACTACATCACCAAATGTATGTGGACACCCCTACTAACCACTGAGTGCAGGTGCTTTATCCACACTCAGGGGTCTAAAATCAAGCACGAAGCTATGGCAAGCTCCATAAACAGACACAGGCATTAGAATGTCACTTCAACCCTTGTGTGGTGTTCATGTGTTTTACTCAGTGGTCAATACAGCCATAACAATTTATGTAAAACTACCAGATGTTTAAAATATTACAAGTGTCCAGCGTAGGGTTCTCCTTTAGCAGCTGTAGCCAGTCAGCAGCCTGTCCATGCTGTCCACCCTCACACAGACCCACACACACACAGACACACACACTAACAGCAGGCCATGTAGGAGGAGAACAGAGTGAAGGACACAGCACCTCCACACTTTTACTCCCCGCAGGTTCAGCCCAACACCACATGTGTAATATAAATGTGTGGGGGGTGAACAGAGAGAAGACACTGAAAATGGGTTATTTTATATGTTCTTCATTGAAAATGAGCAAAGGCCAAGAATCTGAGGTTGAAATAATAATAAATCACATAATTAATAATATAAAAATTCATTAATAGAATAATAAATCACAATTTTTTCTTTTGGTAAACATTGAAAAGGGGTCCCACAGACCCCAACACCACACATGGGTTAAAGTGGGGCACTGTCAAAGCAGTTCACCTTTGCAACATGTCAGTTTGTGAAATTTCTGCCCTGCTAGAGCCGCCCTGGTCAACTGTAAGTGCTATTACTATGAAATGGAAGCATCTAGGAGCAACAACAGCTCATCCACGAAACAGCAGACCACATAAACTAACAGAGGGGCTGTTTTTCAGGGTTTAGGCTTAGTTGCAGCACAGGGTGATGCTAATGCTACAGCATACAAACACATTTTAGACAACTGTATGCTTTGGTTTGATGAGTTTAATGTGGAGGAACTCCAGTGGCCTGCACAGAGCCCTGACCCCAACCCCACTGAACACCACTTGGATGAATTGCCATGCTGACTGTGAGCCTGGACTTCCCGTCCAACATCGGCGTATGACCACGCAAATGCTTTCTCACTTTTACCCCCCAAGTATCACACATATTTTAGCATTAGCAGCAATAAAATATTAAGTTTAACATGATGGCAGCGACCACAGCGACGTCATGACGAAATAAAGCTGGGCTACCCTGGAACATTCTGAAACTAACCACCTCACAGCCCACGATGCAGTAGTCCCAAATCGCCTCCTCCTCAATTAGAAACAGGTGGAGAACTGTCAGGGTCTGTATCAGCTTCCCATAGCCTATTAGATGCGTCAGAGACCACACACATTAAGAGGGGGGACGGTTCGGTGAGTCCGGGATTTCCATCTATTCTATTTTATTAAGAGACTGCTGTGCTCTTTTAAAGCCACTGGGCTTGATTTGAAAAAAATTTGGATGGCGTTTAATCAATTAGTTTAACCTGCCAGTAGTGAGAGAGTGTGAGAGAGAGAGAGGGAGGGGGGGGGTGGGTGAAGCAGAACTAGAAAGGGGAGGAATTGATTATTTTCAGTTGTGAAATTCTATATGCTTTTATCTTGTAATTAAGGATGTCACTATTAGCAGCTGAGTGTTTTATTGATTATTTACAAAACAGTTATTTATAAATCTGATTGGCTGAGCTGTGTTCAAAGACACTGCAAAATGCTTGATATGCGTTCACCTATGACCGCCTCACAACAGCTGTTAATGGACTGTTACGCTGCTCCCATTGACCAGCGAATGTATTGATAAAGATGCAGTAAGTTAACAGGCCTAACAGCTCTTCCATTACAGCACATGGTGCTTTATACATGAACTAGTCTGAGGGACTCAGATGTCTTTACAGTGGTGGTGATAGAAACCACTGGTTGTGATGTCTACAACAGACATACAGCCATTTTATTTACTGTCCAAAATGAACCTACATGTGTCTTCTGAGTTATTTATCTATGTTTCTGTTTGTCTCTGTTGGTATTTCGGGCTGCATTAGCACAAAAATGCAAGACAGACGGCTCTTACTAGTCATCAGTGTTTGAGAAGAGTTTACTAGAATAGATATCAGAGAGGGCGGGAAGATGAATGATTATTAAAATTGAACCTTTAAAGTGTGCAATTTTTGTAGGAGTGTTGTCTTAACAAGTTTTAAGTGGGACAATTTATGGCACACTACAGTCAGCATTCCAGCCTTAAGTCCAGAAATTGGACGTGCTGGTCTTCTGGGTGAAAAAGGCTTAATTTATACAAAACAATCACATTTAAATCACAGCTGCAATACCGGTCAGAAAAAAAGCCTTTTAGCTCTAATTTCAAGTCAAAACCTTAAGACAGACAGACAGACAGACAGACAGATAGACAGATAGAAATGTATTGATCCCGAAAGGAAACTGCAGTAACCCAAAACTACTGTAAAGCAATGCCTCATCAGGCATCAGGCAATGTGTTCATAACCATTTCATGTAACAGCTTTTCAGATATCTGGTTCCTATCACCACCAACTCTGACTTAGTAAGTTTCTCTAGAATGACCTTGCAAACTGTGCATAGCCTTTCATTCCAAAATAATGGACAAAGATAAAGAAAGAAGACTTTTAAAAGATGTTGTTAACAAAATATATAAACACTGTGGCAAAAAAGCACTAGGTGACAAAAAGTGTGTCCTTCAGGCTGTTTCTTACTGTCAGAGACCTGTAGTAGAATGTAAAATATGCATTATCATCATGCAAATTGCCAACTAATTATTGCCAAATTACAAAGAAGGTAAATTTTAATCATTTCTTTTTTAGACAATTTAATCAAATAATTGCTATTTGTGCCCTACTCAGATTTTATTCTAGAGATCCAGTCCATGTAGTTCTACAGTTACAGACTGTAGTCCATCTGTTTCTCTGATACTTTGTTAGCCCCCTTTTACCCTGTTCTTCAGTGGTCAGGACCCCCATGGACCCTCACAGAGGAGGTACTAACACTGACGTGGCAGTGGTGTGTTAGTGTGTGTTGCGCTGGTCTGAGTGGATCAGACACAGCAGTGCTGTTGGAGTTGTTAAACACCTCAGTGTCACTGCTGGACTGAGAATAGTCCACCAACCAAAAATATCCAGCCAACAGTGTCCTGTGGGCAGCGTCCTGTGACCACTGAGGATGACCAACACAAACTGTGCAGCAGGTGGACTGACAAGGTAGGAGTGTCTAATAGAGTGGACAGTGAGTGGACACAGTGTTTAAAAATTCCAGCAGCACTGCTGTGTCTGATCCACTCAGACCAGCACAACACACACTAACACACCACCACCACGTCAGTGTTACTGCAGTGCTGAGAAGGATCCACCACCCAAATAGTACCTGCTCTGTGAGGGTCCATGAGGGTCCTGACCACTGAAGAACAGGGTAAAAGGGGGCTAACAAAGTATCAGAGAAACAGATGGACTACAGTCTGTAACTGTAGAACTACAAAGTGCTCCTATATAGTAAGTGGAGCTGATAAAATGGACAATGAGCGTAGAAACAAGGAGGTGCTCATAATGTTATGCCTGATCAGTGTAAAAGCACACCTAACACATCTACAAACACAGCTGTGTAGTGCGTAATCTTCTGGCCAGTGCAGGCTTAGCAGGCCACCTCTTGAAGGGAAATTATTGTCTACTTGTGTAACTGCAGGAATAGCGGGTCTCAGGAAGGATTTCTTTAGTCTTTCAAGTTTCACGAAGCTGTTAGTGAGAGCAAGTCTGTAAAAATTGGATTTACATGCTCCAAGTCTTCTCTGAAACAAGCCTGCATGTCATGTCTCTTGCTAAGCAGTCTTAAAGTCGAGCTCACAGCTACGCAAAGACTGGAGACTGATCAGCCTGAATGTCAGCAAACTGCCCTCTCTCTGGACAGAGGACATGACATGCAATTACGGATTCTGCTGCTGGTGGTATTCCAGTCCATATTGATCAATTTGCTTAAAGACCTCTCAAAATAACGCACCTTGTAGGTGCAAGTCAACACTAAACGCCCCAGACAGGACGCTTTCTGGTCTACGGCAACTCAAGCATCCAAGAAGTGAATCTCCTTATAGTTCTCTAGCAGTTTCACTGCTCATGACTCTACAACCCAATTATGAGCAATGCGTTTCAATTATGAGCCAATCCTTTCTCCTCTTGTGTTCTTCCATGACAACTGTTGCAAGGGTTCCTTTATTTAGAACTGATACATAACTATGAATTTCCATTTTAAAATGCTTTGCTATCACGCTGCACTATGTTATTATAGCTGATCGAAACTAGGCAGGTTGCAAATAACTATGAATTTTAACATGATTACATAACGAGAAACTACAGATGCTCTGATATGGGAATTGCGGGCTGCGATCCAATATTTTTCATGCATATATAGTCTCAGTTTTTAACAGCCGATAAGGTGAGCTCCTGCCTTGTTGGAACGAAAACCCACAGCTACAGCGGATGAGATTGGGCACCCCTGGTTTACGTTAGTTCAATATTTCAAACAGTATTTGATCATGTATTTATTG